CTACCAAGTAAGTGGCAAGTCCCACTCGTACTTTTACGGTCTAATTTGCAACCGGCAAAGTCCGAGTCGGAATAACCAACGAGATGACAAGAAGAGCCTTTTGGATACCACAGTCCAACGTTAACCGTGCCGACAAGGTATTTCATGATCCGTTTCACCGCGGTTAAGTGCGATTCCTTCGGACATGATTGATACCTCGCGCAAAGGCATATGCTAAACATGATATCCGGCCTACTAGCGGTAAGATAGAGAAGAGATCCGATCATACCTTGATACTTTTTGACCTCTACTTCCTTACCTTTCTCGTCTTTGTCAAGATGGTCAGACGTGCTCATCGGGGTCGCCATGGCTTTGGCGTTGTCCATTTCAAACCGTTTTAGGAGCTCCTTGCAGTATTTAGCTTGGCAAATGAACGTTCCATCTTTCATTTGCTTAACTTGGAGTCTTAAAAAGAATGTGAGCTCGCCCATCATTGACATTTCAAATTCGCTAGTCATTAGCGTTGAGAATTCCTTGCACAAAGACTCGTTAGTAGCACCGAATATAATGTCGTCTACATAAACTTGAACCAAAAGGATGTTATTGTTTTTACTCTTGATAAAAAGTGTAGTGTCAACCTTTCCCCTTTGGAAACCACTATCCAAAAGAAATTTACTCAAACGTTCGTACCAAGCACGTGGTGCTTGTCTAAGACCGTAGAGCGCTTTCTTGAGTTTGAAGACGTGATCGGGGAACTCAAAGTCCTCAAACCCCGGGGGCTGGTCAACATACACTTCCTCTTGAATAAAACCATTGAGGAAGGCACTCTTAACATCCATTTGATAAAGTTTAAAATCCATAGACGAAGCAAAAGCAAGAAGTAAGCGAATAGCTTCTAAACGTGCTACAGGTGCATACGTTTCTTCAAAATCAATGCCTTCTTCTTGATTGTAGCCTTTAGCTACAAGCCTAGCTTTGTTTCTAGTGATTATTCCATTTTCATCAAGTTTGTTATGGAACACCCATTTCGTACCAATAATCGTACGGTCATCGGGCCTTGGCACCAATTCCCAAACGTCATTCCGTTTGAATTGGTTTAGCTCCTCTTGCATAGCCAAGGTCCAATGTTCATCGTTTATTGCTTCGGAAATGGTTGTAGGTTCAATTTGAGATACAAAATCCATGTGACCTACGGTGTCCCTAAGAGAGTTACGAGTACTTACCCCGCGGTTGATGCTGCCGATTACCTGGTCAAGTGGATGGTTCCTGTGCGTTCTCCAAGCGATGGGAAGCTCGGTTTCCTCTTGTTCTTGGGCTTCCTCTTGTTCTTCTTCGTCTGCTTGGTCTTCACTTTCGACCATCACTTGAGGTGTTTCCTCAGGTTGTGGTTGCGGGTTGGTGTATAATGGTGTGTCTTCTTCATCGTCTTCAAGGTGTACTCTCTCTAATGAATCTGCAAGATCATCACAAATAGCCTTTCTCGCCAAGCGAGTATTATCTTCGGAAAATACAATATGAGGGGA